TGTGGAGGTGAGAAAGCGTGTGGAGGAATTTGCCTCAGTGTGGCTCAGTGCAGCAGGAGTAAGATGCAGAGACGTGGTTCTGTAGGCACCGTGGTGAAGCTCACTTCGGGAGGATGGGGAAAGAGAAGCCTGCAGGAGCTAGCAATGGTATGGGCAGAAATATCAGAGAGAGAACATCCACAAATCAGGGACTTTCGGTATTCCACCCCAAGAGTTTGAGGTTTACCAGCAGCGTTTCTGCTGGTGGTGTTGGCACACAGTTGGTTGCTTAACCGTGCTCCTAACGCGCCGGCACTGAGGGCCGTTTTCTGATTAAACCAAAGCGAGGAGGTCAGGGGAGGGCATCCAAAAGTGGAAGTTCCTTCAGTGCTGCTGGAGGCTCGAGAAACCTCCACCAAGGCTGAGAGGAGAAGATTCCTCCCAGCAGTGACGAGGTTTTGAGGTGGGCAGGAGCGAGGGGAGCAGATGGGGAAGGTGCCTCCCATCTGATCGTCTGCTGCGCTGCCGAGAGCTCCTGGTATTTTTGTGTTGCTCTTCCAAATGCCTGCGGCTGCAGGCCTAAAAGCAGCTCTGCCTCTGATTCAACTCCCTTGGCAACGGCGCTTTTAACTCTCCCCCTCTCTTCTCCTTTCCCCGTGCCCAGGTGTTGTGCCACAGAGCGCTCCTCCCGTCCCCACGGCTTCATCCCGCTTCCACTTCCCACCTCTGGACAGCCACTCTCCCACTGACGATGCACAACCCGGCCGTTTCTCCGGCCCTTCCCTGGTCCCATCCAACCCAGAGGCTCTGGGCGACGGCGGTGAGAGGAAACCTGACCTCCCAGAGCTGGAGGACGGCTCCGCCGATTGGCGCCGTGGCGTGGATCTCATGGCCTCACGTAACACCGCGAGCGCCGGGGGTGTCAACCACCAGAAGCGCAAGCCAGACATCATGCTGCCTCTCTTCACCAGGCCCGGCATCTACCCGGATCCTCACAGCCCCTTTGCCGTGTCCCCTCTGCCAGGACGTGGCGGGGTCCTCAACGTCCCCATCTCGCCTGCGCTGTCCCTGACTCCCACCCTGTTCTCCTACAGCCCGTCTCCAGGCCTCAGCCCCTTCACAGGCAGCAGCTGCTTCTCTTTCAACCCTGAGGAAATGAAACACTACCTGCATTCGCAAGCTTGCTCCGTCTTCAACTACCATCTGAGCCCGCGGACTTTCCCCCGCTATCCGGGCCTCATGGTGCCACCACTACAGTGCCAAATGCCCATGGAGGAGCAGCCCCAGTTCCCCATCAAGCTGCAGCCTCCACCCGTCGGGCGCAAAAACAGGGAGAGACTGGAAAGCACCGAAGAGTCAGCGACCCCCCAGCTCGCCTCTCCGCCTCCCCCCAGGGTGAAGCTCGAGCCCCCTGTGGACAAGGAGGCCGAACGCGAAGAGCCGCCCGCAAAGGGAAAAGACAAAAGCGAGAAGGAGGAAAATTCCAGCATGGCAGCGCCCAGCACCAGCCTGGAAGAGGAGAAGGGTTCGGTGTTTGCCAGACCTGCCGCCCCATCCTGGCACCCGGCACCTCTGGTGCCCACCCAGACCCTGGGCCCGGCCGAAGAGCCCCAAGATCAAGGGGAGAGCAGTGGTGAGAAACCCCCCAGAGAGCCGTCCGGAGAGCCTGGAACGCAAGAGAAGCGCGAGGACGCCCTGATGCCCCCCAAGCTGCGTCTCAAACGCCGCTGGAACGGGGACCGGCAGGCAGACGCCCCCGAGGAGCACCCCAATGGCCGTGTCCCATGGAACGGGGTGCTGGGCAGCCCTCACCTCACGGCTGGGCCCAAGGCTGTGGCAGCCGCTGCTGCCTCTGACGCCTGAGGCTGTGTGCCGAAACCATCCGTGTATTTATGTAGCAAGGTTGCAGAGCGTTGGGGGGTGGGCGGGGGGGGTAGGGCTGGGGGGGGGCTGGGGCTAGATTGGTTTGGTAATTTTAGAGACTGGGGGTGGGGGGGTTTAGGAGGGGGGTTGTGTTTCTTTTTGTTTTCGTTGTTGACTTGCAGGTGAGACGCGGTTGTCTTGTTCCGATTAGGAGAGGCGAGGGGTGCTGAGCTTCACACCTTGCATGAACTCCAGAGGGGTTGAGGCCTCCACCGAGGCAGGGGAACTCCAGTGCAGTCTGTTCCCTGCGCGCTCTGTCTAGTATTTATAGAAGAGGGAATCTCTTTTGAGTTCATCTAGTTCCTTTATTTGATGGAGTTCTGGTGCGATGGCGGGGAGGATTTCCTGACGATGGGAAACGTGTGCTGTGTGCCAGCATCGGAAGCTGTCTGAGTTTTTGGAAGTGGGGGTGGGAATACGCCGGGAGAGGGCAGGGAGAGAGAATATTGCACTGTCCTCTGGTTGGAGAGGGCTGCAGAGAGACAGCTCTGTGTGCCGGGACGTGGCAGCGCTTTCAGGACGCGGTCGCCGTCCTTTGGGCCTTTCAGAAATACTGCAGAAGCCATGAGCAAATGATAGAATCTTTCAGGGAAGGGAGTGGGGGTGGGAAAAGAAGAAGAAAAAAAAAAAAAAAAAAAAAAAAAAAAAAAAAGAATAAAAATAATAAAAAGTCAATTCCATTAATAAAATTATTAAAATTTTACTTTTTTTTTTTTTTTTTTTTTTTTTTTTTTTTTAATGGTGTGGGTGGAGCTGGGAGCGATTGGAAGGTTAACACTGAAATGATTGTTGGTGAGTTCATGGAGAAGGAATGACAGGAGCTTTGTTCGATCTTTATTTCCTTTGTTTGGTTCCCCTATCACTTTGACTCATGCCTTAACTACGTATACACTTTATGAGAGCAGGGTCTGTTGGCAGAAGGAGCCTATGAGGAGCCAGAGGCGGTGGCCAAGATCGGGCTTCTCGGTGGAGGTGGATGCAGCCCCACAGTGGTCACAGGAGCGCAGGCGGCGTGGAACTGCTCCGACCCGTGGTGTGAATCTCACTGTATTTGCTACAAATCTGCTATTTCCCTACGTAGCTGCGGTTCTCGTTAGGCTGATTAATTTAGGCTCCGGATTACGCCGAGGAAATGCTCTTCCCTTTCTTCCTTTCCTCCCTCCTCCCCCGTTCCTGCTGCATCAGGATGGATTCTGAACGATTCCTCGGATGGAAATCATAAACAAACGATGGACCCCCCCCCACGTGGGGCAGAGCTGTGCCCACGGCGTGGCTGCGTGTCGGTGATCCCGGCTGGCAGACGTGGGGGGGTTTTGGTGATGCTCACAGGGGGTCGGGTGTGCGAACGCCGCGTCGCCAAGCGCCCCGATACGCAGTGAATGTGGCTGCAGACCGGTGAGCATCCCCTTCACCGGGGTTTTGGCACCGGGATTTTGGCACTCGGGGTCGGAGGGGAAAAGGACAGGAGCCCTCCCCCAACCCCCCCTCAGCCAACGTCAGCGTGAACTCAGGAATTAGCAACACGAGGCCTTTCCCATCCGTAACGCATATCGTCGCCCCTCATTCCCAAGTGCCGGAGCCTTTTTGTTTCGGAGGGTGGCTGCTCCCACCTGGGGGGAGGCGGCGCTGCCCTTTTTTGTGCTTCTTTAAGGCAAAAAAAAAAAAACCAAACAAAAACCCACCAAGATGAACTTGTCTGTTTGGCTTTAAAAGGTTTCTAATCGGTTCCAGGCCTGGGCTGGGGGTTCTTCATAGCCATTGCACTGCAAACTGGGAGCTCCGCCATCAGGGATAAGGACTCAGGTTCTCAGGACAACGGACCATGGAGCGGGGCAGTGCCACCCGCCGTGCGAGGCCCAGGGCAGCCCCCCTTCTCCCCTCCTCCTCCCAGGGGGCAAAGGACATTATTATAGATAACAATTTACCTTTTGAAACAAGAAGGAGGAGGAGGGG